TTCATTGAAAGGCCGCGCCATAGCTCAAGCGGTTAGTCGCTGGCTTCCCACCGCGGCGGCCCGGGGTCGATCCCGGGGCTGGTCAAGTGGGATTTGTGGTAGACAAAGTGGCGCTGATGCAGGGTTTCTCCGAGTACTTCGGTTATCCTTGTCAATCTTCATTCCACCAATTGCTCCACAATCACCCTCATCTGTCATCTGGGGCTGGTACAATAGGCCAGAAGTGGCCGCAGTACAAGGGACTTAGTCCCACCCCACTAGCAATAAAAAAAAATACTTCATCGAACCTTTAGTGCCATATACAAGGGATTGAAAGAATAATGGAAACACTACAGATACTGTACATATTTCTCCATTAATATGATGCAGTAACTTCTCCCTTCAATACAGCAGCAGTCCTCCTTGGAATGGACTCGTACGAGTTTTGAACAGCCTCTAGCAGAACTGTATACCATTCTTCTTGAAGAACATCTTCAGGTTCCTTTAGTGATATTGGAGGTGGGAATCTGTTCCTTACACTAGGCCCCAAAACTGTCCAGAGTGGTTCAGTGATGTTCAAATCTGGTGATTGTGCTGGTCAGGGAAGATGTTGAAGTTCACTTCATGATCTTCAAGCCATGACTGAACAGTTGCAGCTGTGTTTCATTGTCGGAATTGAACCAAGCATTCCAGATTGTAGGCTTCCTTGGTTGTTCATCAAATGTAAACCCTTCCTGATGTAAGAAACGGCGTGTAGGATGACTCATCTGACCATATCACCTGCGCGTTTCCAGTTGTCTGATGTCCAGGTTTTACAGTCGTGACACAATCGCCTGCGCATCTGAGCATTACTTTCAGTAATCAGAGGTTTAGCAATTGCATCACTACCGTGTGTTTGTGAAGCTCATGTAGGACAGCTTTTGTTGAAACAGGGTCTTCAACATGAATATTCAGTTCTACTGCCACCTGTGCTGCAGTGGTTATGTGACTTATCGAAACAATCCTTCTCAATGTACATCGATCTCTTTCTGTCAGTGTTAATTTTCGTACACTGTTCCTCTTTGCTGACGTCGTCTTGTCATGATTCGCGTACGCCGACAAAACTTGTGAAACTGTCGCTCCCGATACACCTGATGATGTGTCAACTTTGTCACACATGTTCCAGCTAAACGCGCACCGGTAATCTGTCCTCTTTCAGAATCGGAAAATCTCACATTTTCCGATTCTTTCACACGGACTGTCACTCAACACAATCACTGATGCACTGACACGAGCACTACAGAGTGTAAACAAACGGAAGAACTTTCAATGTTGCCAACTTAAGTTCTTTCAACGTAGACAACACAAACAGGTTCTATTCCTCAATTTCTTAGTGTTTCAATTAGTTTGTCCATCTTCTGTATATTTTACAATTTTAAATTAAATGGCGCTAGTATCGTTACACATTCAGAAATTCGAATGCCCGCCAGTTGTTTTGTAGAAGGTAAAGTTGTCCCTGAGCTTAACTAATTAAACACTGCGCCATGAAGGCGTATGAGGGAGTGGATGTATAGATCCACATTTTCTTGATCTCGGCACTAGTTGGAGGTGAGTGGTCGGCTTCACGCCTAGGCCGCGTTACCCCCGGGGATAGAGGCTCCGGAACCCACTGGACAGGAGGCTGGGTGGACGATGAGAAGAGAAAATTCTTGACCCTACCGTGACTCGAACTCCGACCCCTCGGGCGTCCAGCCTGTAGCCAATCGCTATATGGACTACGCTTTCCCGGCTCTTTGAAGGAAATATTGGTGGTTTAAAATATGGTAAGATGTTAGCAGAGATGGGATTCTTTCTAATGGAAAGATGTTAAATCTACGTCAAATTACAATTAAGCAGTTTGTTAAATCGTTTTATGGGAAATGGCACACGAACATATAGAGTTAATGATAAAATTAAGGAAGTATGATAAAAAGTAGACTTCAATCAAGGCAATAAATCCTGTTCATTTCCGAAATACAGAACGCGCTAAGCTAATATGATCTGTCCTGTTTTTGCCATCCCAACAATGTTGAAGCACATATGGGCGAGTCAATTTGCAGGCGTTCATATCTATTACAAGCGTCGATATACGCGCCGGTACAGATGTTCAACAACCACAGATATATGTTCATAAGTGACATTATATTGACATATTTGCTCAAGGCAAGGTGTCTGAAGCCAGCGGAGACAGCCGTTGCTAGGGAACGGTTCTGTAAACAATTCCGTTGCTAGTCAACAGATTCGTAACAAGCAACAATGAAGTAACTGGGAAGCGGTCCTCTCTACGCGTCCGTGGTATAGCTACGTGACTGAACAACAGAAGAACTGCTGGGAGATTTATTCTCTCTGCGGTCCGTGCCGAGGCCATACCATGAGGAGCAGCTGCGATTAGGGACAGTCTTGAGACGGCAGTGAGAAGAGTAGGAGTTCGGTGTGAGATGGCCGCTAGGCCTGGGAATTACAGTTGAAGCAATGAGTGAGTTGAGACATTCGCCGGCCGGTTAGGACGTGAACACAGAAGCTGAGGGAACTACGGCTTATAAGCCGTAACCAGACGACAAATGGTGAAGATACAGCAAACTGAGAAGACGTCGTACGTGCTGTAGTGTACTGGAGAGTGTACTGGTGATAACGCTATGGTTATTTGTAGTTACGTTCTGCAAGGGTTCAATAAATCCAATTACAAATCCAAACCCCGTCTACAGCCACTCAATCACGTGACAATATGTTTATGTCTATGTATATGTTTCTATCTAATCTCATCTAATCTACATACCTTCCTACGTGGCATATATTTTTCTATGTCTTTTTTCCATCTATACAGTTAGCTCCATGAAGCAAAGTCTTGAGGGGCTTACAAGCAACAAATTCCTCTTGTTAGGACACACGACTGTCCATTACCACAGTCACAAGATTCAGTTCACACATGCACAATATGTCTTGAAGATGTATCATGATATTAACCTCCTATGTTTAAAACTGCCAAGTGGTCTCTTTCTTTCAGGTTTTCAGACTGAAACTGTGTAGGATCTATACATATCTCAACTTTCCCATGAGTGACATACCCACACATCTCATCCCCCTTGTTTGTACGTCCTACAAAACTTATCAATATTTAAGTTAATCCGTGCTTCTGTTTCTTCCTCTCCTTAGGATCCAAACATTCTTCTCAATATCTTGTTTCAAACATCGACAGATTACAAAAAACAAACAACAGACTTTTAATTCAAACCCTTTTCGAAGAATAAATTAAAATGCAGACATCTAGAAATTCGTGACACGGTAAACTACAATGTACTCCTTATTTGCATCCTGTGTAAGTAGTGCCTACATGTATATTTGGCGTTGTCAACGTGCAAACGCAGTTGTAGCAGCGTTAAACAGTGACGTCGCGGCGCCATCACTATATACAGGCCTATCACGGGCTGGCCATTGTCCGTCCTGTCCACACAAACATCGCCCCCCCCCCCCCCACCTNAATCCATTCCCTAATATATGCACTCTCCAGTTTCGTCCACACAAATATTCATTAATCTGCAGGCCCTCCTGTTTAAAAATCACACATTCAGACTTCCCAGTTGTGGGCTCAAGGTCTGTTTGCAAGCAGAACTGTTCCTCGGGAATTAGCTTTATTCCCATGTTTTGTGTATGGAAGGGCTTTGGAGTCGTTCGGGATCTGGCGGAGAATCAAATTTTGGCCATCCAACCTGCAGCCATTAGCTTTACTCACTGATCAGATGTTGGAGGTGTTTCCTCTGCCTTATAAATGCAATGTTTCCGTTGCAGTTCAAACTGTGATAATGCAGTTCCTAGTGCTACCTGAAACCCGAAACTTCTGGTTTCAAATTGAAAGCTGCTGCTTTATGACAATTCGTTTTTCGACAGACAACACAACGGTGTTAACATGTGTGGAACCTGGTTTTTCGTTCTGAATAAAAAACGTGGAAGAAAGTTGTTTTGAGGCGGTACCTACGAACAATGATACAATATAAGAGAAGCAAGAGGAAATGACACGATGAAGAGGTTCACAATTTTTACTCTTCACCAAGAATTATTTGGGCGATCAAATGATGGAGACCTAAAAGTGTGTGACGATGGTACATTAATACAAATATATTTCTGGACATTATCCATCATTCTGTTTAAAACACTGCCCTGTTTTTATTCAAAACACAACGTTTCGGAGACTGGATTCTATCAGCATCTTCAGGTGAAACCTACTCATCTGAGCCAAATCTATAGAACTAGTCTCTATCTCCGGACACCTGCACTAACATATGTACAATGGGGTATATAAAACCAAGCATAGCACAAAACATCTGCGAGAGCTAAGGCAACACACTAAAACACTAAAATGCTCCACACGTCTGAGGCCTAGCACAAGAACACGATGATAACAGAAGTTATCACTGGAGAGACATATTCTATGCAAGGTACCAACATAAAATACACTACTTTTCCAGCCCTTTATGAGATGAGCGGGAAATGTAGCATGTATGAAATGAAAAATAAATTTTTGTCGAAAAACTTATGGAAAGAGACCACTTCAGAGGCTTAAGTCTACATTGGATAGCGTGGACTTAATTCATATAATTCAGAATATGGTCCTGTGGCAGGCTCTTGTGAATGTGGCAATGGCCATTTGAATTATATAAAAAAAAGGTAAATTTATTGACCAGCTCAGGGAGAAACAAACTCTTACTGCTCGACGATCTTTACATTTTCAATTGAATATTTCCTAACAGGAAATTTATAAATGTCTGAACTCTCTTCGATTACTCCCTACTGTGGAGCAGAGTTCACATCTGTGAGAGGATAATCTTAATTTGCAATGTAAAAATTACCTCGTAACATAAACGAAAGTTACCAGGTGAATATATCCGTGAATAACAGAAACAGAGGCATGAGGAGCGGCCGGAGAGTGAGATGGGGATTAGAGAAGTTCACTTGTGTTGCAATGACAGAGAAAACATGCAAATAAAACATTCAGCTGAAGCACTCACCAATAATGACTGTGTTCTCATCGAACACTCCTCCTTGAAGCAGCACAAAGCAACAAAGAACAATATAACAATAGATACAAGTACATACATCACACTGTCTACAACATAGGCTGGTGGTACATACGTATAAACATTCTTATAATGAACTCACTTCTATCCAGCTGCTAGTATAGATAGTGTTTGGTCACATTCGTAATTTCAATATAATTTAAAGTATATGATGCTGACTAATTCATTACATCAGTATTGTGTAGCATGTCTGCGTCTGATATGGGCTCCTTGACGGGTAGGACGATGGCTCAGTTCCTGTATTCAGACGAATGTAGCCAAATTACACAACGGAATGGCCAGACTTGACGAGACGAGCGTCCAGTTCTACACCTCATACACTGTCCGATGCCCAACACAACATTCATACATTCGTTCTTCACGCAATACGAACATGTTCTACAGAACTGCTACTAAAGCAGGAAGCAGAAACCTTTTGAGATTTCTCTCTGGAATTCAGCCGACGGTTTAAATGTCTTTGGAGGATGTAAACTGTGCCAACAATAGAATGAATGGTTTCTATGGAAGCGAAACATAATGATGTTAGCAGTGTCACACATTTAGTACATACGATACTAAATTCTTTGTATAAATTAATTTTGTTATTGGTACAGGAACAGAGCTTCCATTATTAAAATATATATATTTATGCAGTCCATGTGTCAATGGCTGTACTGCCCTTTCCTTGGACATTCGCCGATTTTTCAGTTCCTTAATTCAATACACAGCAGATAGGGCTCATGGACGGGGGATCAGCCCGTCCCAAGGTCACTACCTACATACAGAACAACATAAACAGAATAAACTTAGACAGATATCCATGCCTTAAGTGGGACTCGAACCGACGATCCTAGCGTTCCAGCGAGCGAAGAGAGTTCATGGCTTAGCCTGCGCGGCCACTGTGATCGGCTTTCTATGTATTACAGATTATTTTTACACCTGCCAATTGCCAATATATATATATATGCCGGTCACGGTAGCCGAGCGGTCTAAGGCATGCACCGTCTTCGCTCGCCTGGAAACCGGGATCGTGGGTTCGAATTCCACTCAGGGCATGGATGTTTAGTTTGTGTGTGTGCGATTTTCTGTGTTTGTGTACAGGTAGAGGCCTTGCGACGAGCTGATCACCCGCCCAAGGAGTCCTACTGAATGTGTAAGATCTAGAAACACCGAAGTGAAAGGAGAAATTCATGGAGGTAGGCCTAGGCCCACTGGGGCT